TAAAGGACTTGTATCGCTGAAGTTCCTCGTAAAGAATTTATACATGAAATTAACAAACAAGCAGATACGTAACAATATCATAAATATTCTAAAATGTTTCGAACATTCTAGATTTTATTTTAGTTACGTTGATATTATTATTTATGACTTTGATTAACTGTTCGGAATTGTTTTGAGGCAACGTCCTTACAGTGTGTATTTGTTATGCCAATGGCAGTAAATTTCTTTGTTTCTTGTATCATTTCTTTTAACAGTGTCAAAATTATATATTCAATAATTCTACCGTTTTTTTGTCTTTTGTATGTATGAACATTATGTAAGAAACTGTACTTACGCTGTGATAGTCAATGCACCACTAGGACAGTGTTTATAGATCAATGTATTAGTTTTATGCTTCGCTTCAGGAAAAGAACATTGTTGTTGTGGTAAATTTGATACTAATAGTTTACAACGTAACTGATGAGCGCGATCCACAAAGTGAATAGACATACTTACAGTTTTCATACTATTGAATAGTTTTATCAACTCTTATGAACAGATAAGCATGTAATTAAGTATTTATATCCTGCTGTATACCCTGCACGAGCTCTTAGACCCTTGCGAAATTCGTAGTTAGGGCATTTTTTTTTCGAATCTCTGTTACCGAATGTGCTCACTCTTTCAGCCGTGGGGATTTATAATGTGATGGTCAATTCCATTATTCGTTGGTAAAGGAGTAGCCCAGGAATTGGCGATGGGTGGTGTTGACTATCTGCCTTCCCTCTAGTTTATCACTGCTAAACTAAGGACGGCTAGCGCAGATAGCCCTAAAATAGCTGTGTGCAAAATTCTAAAACAAACAAACATCTTTGTAGACTATCAGTTTAAAATTAGGGACAGCTTTCACGAACCGTACTCTGCAGACCTCTAACGTCTCATGTTTGAAATAAGCTGCAAAAATGTGGTCAGCTAAACTGGATTTTACTGCAATCGATTCATTCTACAAAATATATTGCTCGTACTAGAAGTCAAATTTCATTTTTTATTAAGAAATTCATGTTTATTTACATATAGATATTTTATATATATAAAAAAGAAAGACATTACAGAAAAGATCTCAAAATTTCCACAATTTTTGTTTAAGGTTTCCCTAGTGGTTACTCACGTTTTGCCACAGAAAAGCCCCCAGTGGCACAGCGGTATATCCGGACTTACAACGCTAGAAACCGGGTTTCGATACCCGTAGTGGTCAGAGCACAGATAGCCCTTAACTACAAACAAACCCACAGAAAAGAAGACACTCATCTAATCAGATAAATAACACAGCTAGAAATTTCGTGCTAAACAGCAAAATCGCGTAAAAATATACGTTATATATTTCAAATGAATGAGCAAACACAAAGGGTTATATGTGTGTGTGTGTATACACATGCTAAAAATTAGGTGAGAACGAGCTTGACAAGAATATATTAAGAAACAAACAAAGGCTGATTCAGTAGTAGCAGAGATATCGGCCTTGGCTTGTTTCGGCTAAGCCTAACACCTGTAGGAAATGTTGGGTATCACAAAAGTTTAGATAAAGAAATACAAAGCTTAAAATTTAGTGTATTATAGTCAATATAACATTTAACAAATATTTATCTATTGAACAGTTTGGGTTTGTTTCATGAGTTAATTTTACATCATATTTTGAACCAAGCTTTTAATAAAACCAAATTATTGAATTACGATTGCAATATAAATACATAATATGTTATTAATTCTTACCCGAGAAACCTGATTTGTAAATAGCCTAAATAAAATTAATAACAATTATAATTCACTTCTTTAATCCGGTTTATATCATAACAGCTGTTGTTCGTGAAAAATAATGTACATATAGCGTCTAGGCTACTACTATGTCTGTCCTATCTCAACTGGCCTGAGCATTCCTAGTATTGAACGAAAGACTTCGTCGGCACAGAATATGGCAGATGTAGTGTTGTTGACATAGCATAACATATTCTTCTTCGCTTTCACTCATGGGTTCTTAGAATTGAACACTATTAGTTCATTGCCCTTTAGTATTTGTTAAACTAAAGATATTCATTTTTATAAGAATATAACAACTACAACTGAAACATATACTCCAACTTTGCGTAATTATTTGAAAAGAAAAAACGTTTTTAAATCCTTGCTCAAATAATAAGAAAAAAATATATTGTTTAATTCCTTGTTTAAAAACGTCAGCCAAATTTTGCAACAGATCTGACGTAACCTTTAAATGTAGTCACTCAGTATTATAAAGACATATATATTTAATAATGACTTCGGAATAAAAGTAGAAAAGAGTGTATAATCATATAACAAGCACACCTTATGTGCTATATCCATATATGTATGGTTATTTATTGCACACGTAAAAAGTACAGAATGGTTATAATGAAAATCCCAAACAGCCAGCTTTCTCAAATGCATAAAGGGGGTTGAATTTTCGCGATATTCCTCAACATGTACTGTAATATGTAATATAAAAAAAGAAGCTAAATTTGGGTGAAAATTTTGCTCTTAGTTTTATGTCGGTAAGAAATAATACTTTTCTGTTCGTTGAAAATAGATGCTGTTTATAAAGAAAATCCCATATTTGAAATGAATATATCATAATATTATTTGTCCTATGGGAGATTAAATTTCACCAGAAGCACAAAGAGATTCATAAGTTTCATTCAGGAACATTTATTCAAGTTACAAGGTATTCCAAAATGTTACAGAAGTTTCGATACGATTTTCGTCATTCTCAATTAGTACATCAAAACTATTCCTAAATGAAATTTCCGTAAACATAATTTATTCTATATGATCGGCCCGGCATGGCCAGGTGGTTAGTGCACTCGACTCGCAATCTGCGGGTCGCGGGTTCGAATCCCCGCCCCACCAAACATGCTTGCCCTTTCAGCCGTGGGGGCGTTATAATGTGACGATCAATCCCACTATTCGTTGGTAAAAGAGTAGCCCAAGAGTTGGCGGTGGGTCGTGATGACTAGCTGACTTCCCTCTAGTCTTGCACTGCTAAATTAGGGACGGCTAGCGTAGATAGCCCACGTGTAGCTTTGCGCGAAATTCAAAACAAACAAACAAATTCTATATGATATTTATTGATCCTCGTAATATCTGCATGCATTTGATTCAATTCCTCACTTTCGTATTTTTGAAATAGAAAGAAAGAAAGAAGAGAAATAAAAGCAATGCTAGTTTTTGCGACAAAAGTGGTTTAAATGTGGGTTGCAAACATATTGCATCAAATCCAAACTTTTCTGAATAAAGTCTATGGTTATTAATGTGTTTCCCGTGAAATATTATTCGACTATGATAAATAGGATCCCCGGTGGGACAGCGGTAAGTCTAAAGACTAGTAACGCTAAAATTCGGGGCTCGATCCCCGCGGTGGACACAGCAGATAGCCCTATGTGGCTTTGCTATAGCACGCATACACATATGAGAAATAAGCTTTAAGATATAATCGTTTTAATTATTGGATTTTCTTTGTAATAGTTCTGTGCCTTCTAGGTGTACAGTAAATAATCATACGTATATATGATTTTATTTTACTTTCACTCCGAAGCTATTAGTAATTAATATATATATATATATATATATTTATCATTACTTCTACTAAGGTACTACATTTAAAGGTTAAATCCATTTATGATCACGTAAAGAAGGGAAGATAACGGGAAACGATATTTGTTTTTATAATATCAAAAGTTATCACCGTGTACGGTTTTTTTCAACTGAACTAATGTAGAATTGATAGAGGATTGAAAATTGCTTTGGGAACAAAAACTCCAACTTGATAATTTACTGGAGCAGTACGAAAGAGTACATTTATTATTAGTTAGTGTGACGGTAAAGAGTAGCCCAAGAGTTGGCGGTGGGTGACGTTGACTAGCTGCCTTCCCTCTGATCTATCACTGCTAACTTAAAGACGGCTAGCTCGTGTAGCTTTGCGCAATATTAAAAACAAACAAATCCACGATTGAACACACATACATACGCGCAAAAAGTTTTCAAAATTTCATTGGTTCTGATAACAAGAAGATAATTTATCTAAAACTAACCGTGAAATTAACTTAGTTGTCCATTTTCCCCACATGATAAAACAGAATTTGAACGCCAAAACAACCACTTAACTTGCTAACTACTTACTGGTTTGTTTTTGAATTATTTACACTCTCAACTTTACAACATTGTCATTTTATACAGTCCAGCATTTTATCATTAAAAAATTCCCCATTATTCCAGTGTTATTTGCCTAGGGATATTGACCTTAGCTTGAAACTTTTAACAAGATAACTTTCGTTCCATTATGATGAATAAATGTTTATATTACAGAGTATTAAACTATTATTTTAAAACGAGTATCAATGAAACTATTTACAAAATCGTAATTATACTAGGCAAACTATTTTGTGGTAAATAATATGTTAAATAATAAATGTTAAATTAATAAATTATGTACCATTATATAAGTCAAGTAAAAACAGTTGTAGTGAAAATTAAATATAGTTTCACACATATTGCGAAAGATATTCATATATACAGACTGTGAGTGTTCCGTTTGATTATTTTCCAGATTCCAACAACCTGTAAAGTGAGAATGTGGGGTTGCTGTTTGAGAAACATCGAGAAGATCACGTTGAAAAATTCTTTTGTATGGACTGCTGTTCTGCTAGAACTTCACTTTATTTGGGACTTGTATAAGGCTTTTCGTAATAGTGTGACTGGCGGGGTTTCCAGCCCCTTTTATAGGTTCAAGCTTTAGCATTAATTGCAAGGCTCGTGTTCTTTGAATCCGTATATACCCAACTGTGTATTAGGGTGATTGATAGTAAAGTACCTCTTTTTTTGACATTGTTTCAGTTTGAGAGACTGAGAGGTATTTTTTAACAAGACCAAGACTAATTTATATAACATTTTATTATACTTGAAAATATTCCAGTTTTTTGTGTTGTTGTTGTTGTTGTAAACTAAGTTTGTGTTTCTTTTATATTGTTATTATTATCCTGCCTCTGAACTGATGACCATGGACCGAAATAGTGTATATCGTGTACCCCAACAAACATCCAAGAACTACGGGGGCACTATGGTATCTCATAAACAAATAGTAGCGGAAGAAGATGCTGCAACAGCAGACACTGAGATCATGCATGTCGTAGCGAATGATGCTGGAGTTGTGAATATGCGTCCGAAAAGGCAACAAGTCAGTATTAATGGTGGCACGCGTCTTGTTGATTACGAACAAGAAAGAGAACGTCCAATGTCGTGGGAGGGAGGAATATCAGATGATGAGATGGGTCAAGAACAAATTTCCAACTGCCACATTCGTGCACCAAACAGCAGTTTGAATTACTGTAGACATCTACTACGATCAGGAAGCCCCATGTGTCTAGCTGATGAGGATTACCATCCAACGACCGTATGCAAGGTACGGAATTCATTAGTACATTCAACACTTTTTTTTCCTTGTGTTCTATAACGAACGGTGGTTGAAGTGGGACGGTATGCGCAGCTATGCATATCAGTAAGAAAAAAATAGCGATGTGACATACCGGCAAAAAAAAAAAGTTATACTGCTATAAAACACCCTACCTGCAACTCTTTGGTTTCGCACAACAATACGCTTGTCGTTAGTGTTTCTGCAACTATAGCGCGAGTATGTTTCACCTCAGGTCAAAACACCAATCTATCCACCCCCTTCTCAAATTCGTTCATACCGGCACTTTTTCCAGACCACTTTGAACAGTGTCAATGAATATAAAATAGTGGAATATTTGTTGTGTAAAATATCAATAAGGTACATTATAAAATAAGTGTTTTCGACACTTTGTATATTCATGGTTTATAATATCCTAGATTTTATGGAAAAAATAATGCATATTTTGAGGTTATTCTCGACAGAAATATCTCAGTAGGGACGGCGCCAAATCATGCCACAACAGCACGTTAACTAGTGTTTTACAATTTACTTCTTTAGAGAAATTATATTAATAAATATATAATCAAGCCATATTTTCTTTGCAGAAATAGTGAAATATTAGTGTAACTTACATTTTAAGACGAATCAAACATGACTGCCTGACTTTGTTGGAAAGTGTATGTGTGCGTGGGGGGGGGGGGAGCTGACAGTTATTAACAATATTGTATGTACACTAACTGGAAAAAGGGGTCACGTGCCATTTTGTTCTATGTGATAGGCGCCTAAAGTTCATTTCCTAATCATAACATAACTTTTTTACTCATAAGATTGCTAATTTTAAGTTGTTTTTCAATCATATATTATGGAGACTAGTTGAATGAATTGACGTTGTTCTGATGTTTTAAGTTTTATTATCTTTAAATTGCAAGATCTGTCGTTTTTAGAAGTTACGTATATGATTTATATCTCATCTTTACTTTATTTTAATCTTGGTGTCAAACTTCCAAGTGCGATGCCACTGAAGTTGTTGGACTCAAACACTGTAAATCTTTACGTATATTAGAGGTTGAGATTTTTTTTAGGGATCTGTACAAAGAAAATATCAGTGCTTTATTTTCACATGAACATAAATTATACCAGTATTTTTAGGTTAATTTACAGACAGTATTTTTAATTATTATTAAAAAATTAGAAAAATGAACAGAACTATTTTAAAACTTGTTATATTAAAACGTAGAATTACTGAATATTAATATTACAAATACTTTGCCCAAAGATATCTAAAATTGTGGTTCAAAAAATCTAAAATGACGAAAAGTTAAATCTTAGTATATTAATTTTCCGTGACACTGTAACTAAAGGATTACATTATGATGCATAAAAGTGGACCGAAAGTTTACCACCGAGGCAGACTGTCCATTTTGACAACATACATCTGGTAAAAAAATTCGAGGATAATAAAAATGAATATGTATGAAACAAATTTGAAAGTTGAATACAGTATATTATGTATGTTTGTGCATGTTGTAATTAATAGAAAGCCGTATTGTTTCATTTGGCATATTCACTACAAAATTACGCGAGTTTGGGACTTTGGAATATTAACCACGTAGTTTGCCTTTTGTATATATATAATGTATATTTGTAATGATGGTTTGTTTGTTTGTTTGTTTGTAGTTTAAGCACAAAGCTACACAATGAGCTATCTGTGCTGCGCACCACCATGGGTATCGAAACCCGGTTTCTAGCGTTGTAACTCCGCACACATACCACTATGCCACTGGGAGCGTAATGATTGGTGTAACTCCTGAAGAAAAACATTTTTTGACTTTTGAACTGCAAGCTCTACTGTCTTTAGTAGTTACCTATAAGATCTGATTTTATCTTATCTTTGCCTCATTATAATTCTTGTACTGTTGTAGAAAACAGCGTAGTTTCAATTAGAGTTATGCAATGTTAAAGATAATGATATTAATTTAGTTGCATGTCTACTAGTGACGGTACGAAATTTAATATATATTTTTTATTAGTATTTCATTCAGTTATCATTCATTAGGTTTCGGTTTTGAACTTTTGGGCGACCTTGGCTAGCTTTCTCTGAACGGGTTTGAATTACCAACGAGGTGACGTAAGGTGGGAAGATTTTTTTTTTTTTTTAGGGTAGCTAATCATGAACGAGCGTTTGTCCATGCCATGCCTATATTCCACGTGTAAAGGACGTCGGCAATGAATTTCTTTTAAAAAAACTTGCCTTTCTGGTGTCCTGTTCGTGTGGTTAGTGCCTTTGATATGCCGAAAAGCGTCCTTTAGGAACGTTAAGGTAACACGAAAGAATAGGAACAAAACTGTATGCAAAACAGGTTTAGTTTTTTAGTTACATGAATATAAAGTAGTTCCATTAGATACTGAATAGGAAACTTAACAACCCATTATGTGAAAAATGTGAAAATAAATCTCAATATGACATTGATCATTAAGTTCTAAGCAAAACATAATCATACTCGCTTGTTTGTTTCAAAATTTTCGCACAAAGCTACACAAAGGGCAACTACGCACAGCCGTCCCTGACAGACTATAAATAAAGTAGCTTGGCAACAGCATCCACCATCAACTTTATACTTCTCTGGCTAAATATTGGGATTTGACCGTCACTTTTATGGTGCACCCACGACCCTAACGGGCGGAGCGCGTTTTTGCAACAACAGGCAGCAGCTTCTGAACTCTTTGATTCAGAGTCCGAGTATGCAATCCACTAGACCTTTATACATGCTAAGACGTTTTATGCAGAACTGTGCACTAAATAATTGATTTCAAGTGACATTACAATTGTAAGTTTTTTACTAGCAGAGAATTTATACTGTCGAACAGGATACATTTTTATACTTTCAACAATAATAGGGTAATTAATTAAAAAGCATTATGTGCATCATCTTCCTTTAACTAGCTAGCACATGTGATATACAGGGTGTAAAATCAAAACTTAGGGAACATGCTAATTTTATAAAAATCGGTTACAGCGATTTGCCAGTTATACACGTAGGCACACACATGGAACTTTGTGCTCAACAACAAACAAACAAGTTGCCCAGGAAAAACTGTTTTCTTATGTTTCTTAGATATTGTATAATATAAAACTATTTAGACTGCTAATTAATGTTAGCATTTTATTCCACTTCATTTAATTACCAAACACTGCACTTTAACAAAAGTATATCTGATAAATAGGATATTTACATTATATATTTTAGCCTCAAAATTAATCAGAAATGTGTACATTTCCAACACCATGACTATTAATGTCTTCTCCATACCAATATGCACTACAGAAATTGAATAATCAGGATATTGTTTCCAAGCAAGGTTGTCATGTTAGGGTTAAACCCTCTATTTGTAGGGGGAAGTTGAACCAATAGAGGTGAATGTGGGGGAAGAAATCAAATAGGAGTTAAAGCTAAAAATGGGAGGATTTCATTTCTGCTCTTATGATGTCCTTTCAAATTTTCTATATAGTTCTCATGACCTTTTAAAATATTAAGCCTGTCTTCTTACACTAACAGTGGTGGACTACTTCACTATGTCATTTGCCATAAAGTCCTGCCTTACACTTTACTCCTCCACATTTCAAAAGTAAATATAATTCCAGTGTAATGAATATATAATATAATATGCATTATGCAGATTTTGTGTGGTTCTGATTCACAGAAAATGATTTCATTAAATATTTCAGCTAAAGTGATGTTACAAAGTTATGCTTTCTCAGAAGATAATTACATTGTCTGTGTAAGACTTAATTGTATTTTACTGAAGTACTAGCATGGTTTATCATTATATATATATGAACGAAAGGCCAAGTTATCCAAGCTATATATTTATATATAGTAGAGAGGTTGATATGGGTATTAAAAACTTTTATTTAAACACAAAACAAGTAACTATGTATGCATATATTTACTTCAAGTGGATTCCTTGTCATGTGAATTATCCAAGATGGTTTATGTGTACAATAACTTAAAAAACGACTTTTGATTAAGAGCAGTTAAAAAATTAAGTAACTCAACTATATTAAAAACGTGTTATTATTTTCTGAGCTATGAAATGAGGGGAGCATTTTTTTTACTCATACAAAGCTACACATTACAAGATTGGAGTACTAGAAGTAGAACATGGCTTTTTTTAATATAGGTATTCAAATTTGTTGTAGTTACAAAAATTGTTTTAAGTTGGAAAATTTTATCTCATGCACGATAAATTTAAAAATGCTATTAAAATCAAAATACTTCAGAACATGAAAATAAGTTGCATTTTTTAAATTCATATCATTTCCTCCATTTTCTTTTATTACAAGCATATAGACTTGAGTTGTTTGTTGATCCATTTGTGTTTTTTAATTCATGTCTAAACTTAATTTATTAATTTTATAATTTGCAGTAAATATATAGTACAATGCTACGACTATTTGATACTCTTTATTGTTATTTAAAATTGAACTGATCATATCAGAGCATAATTATTTTCTGTATATTATTGTGCTGTGCTCCCACTTTTAGCATTAGCTCGTATTTGATTTATTCCCCCACATTCACCTCTATGGATTCAACTTTTCCCTACAGATAAAGAGTTTAAACTTAATCTGACAACCCTACTTGGAAACAATGTCCTGGTTATATAATTTCTGTAGTGTATATTGGTGTATAGTATTGTGCTGAGTGTTGTTGATTTTACATAACATAAAACATATGTTCTGTAGCATCAAAATACATTTTGTGATTTCTTTTATTTAAAAAACAATTATTTTCAAATAATTTCACTTAACATTTGAAGTTATTTTGAACATTGCAAACTTATTTCATTATTATCAGTATATAGTTAACTAAGTATGTTTAGTGTTTTTGTCAGAAAAATAACCTGTCTTTTATAGCTTCTATTTAATCATGGTTAACACATTCTGTATCTGTATAACACAAATAATTTGCTATTAAATATAAAAATTTAACATGCATACCATAACCAGTATATTTAATTAAAAAAATGTTATGTAGAAAGCATTAGCAAGTAAAGTTGGTTTTGATAAAAATGTTTTCCTTCTATAGGTGAGACTTACCTTTTTAATAATATATTTTTCTACTTTGTTTTACTATATTTAGGCACCATGTATGGAGTCAGATACTGTGAAAATAAATAACAGTAATATGAATATCTCAGTTGTGAGTCCTAATGCAAAGCCTCATTACTCACTTCCAAATTCAAATCCTCATGTAGTTGAGAGAAAAACGCTTCATAACTATGGATCTGTACCATCTGTATTCAGTAAAGAACAACCTCTTATAGGACATCCTGGTTTATATGGTGAGTATTAATACTCTCAGAAGTTACTGCATTTAACATGTGTTATGCTAAAGGTTAAATCAAAGAAATGTATGTTCAAGATTTTGTGCTAATTATAGATAATTTAGAATAATATGTAAGATCTTTTTCTACACATGATTGACAAATGTCTATCTAACTTATTAATTGAAAGAAAATACTTATATTTAGGGTTATTACTGCCATAATGTACCACTGTACATTTGTTTCTATTAAAAGCTATCTTTCATAATTAATTTCTTGAACACATAGGTAAATCATGTTTATAGAATAAAAACAAAATATAGCCCAAGGTGATACCTACCTTTAGGAATCCCACTGGTAATTGAAACAGAATTAGAACTTTTTTTTCCCCTCAAAGAAGATCTTTTATTCAAGTTAAAACATGACCAAAGATATTAAGGGATGTTTATTTTTGCAAAAGTTGTACAAAAGTAAACATCTTCCTTCAAGATGACAGAGAATATTAATTTAAAAAAATCATAGTTTCATTTTGAGGTTACTCACTGATTAAGGAATATTTTATTACAAGTTACAGCTTTTATAGTAAGGAAGAGTATTTTTTAGAAAAAAGTACAATGTTTTGATCACTGGTGCGATCATTCTCAAGTACAGGGATTGAAATATTATATTCCTGAGGAATTTAACTTTGCTTGAGGAATTTCATCTTTTTAGTTGGCTTTCCCAATTGGGAATGCATGGTTCCTCTATTTATTCCTTTAATTATGACCAATGAAAGTGAAAATATTGCATGGATTAAAAACAACAACAAATCATGAGGAAATGCAACTTTACATGAGGGAATGTAATCTTTCTGATAGCTTTCCCATGAGTGAATGTAATTTTATTTCATTATTTCTATACCTGCAAGTACACTTGCTGGAACTTCTAATAAAATCATTTGAATAATGTTCACCAAATGTTTTCATGGAAAAGAAGTTAAACTAACAGGTTTATAACTAGTAGAATAAAATCTGATCTTTTTTTGAATAATGGTGATTTTATCACCAATTTTCATTCTTTGTTTAACTTTCCTGTGTCTATGGGCTTTGAAAAAATGAGAAAAAAAGTAGAAAAAAAAAGCATCTGAATTATTACTCAATAAATAAAAGTGTACATTATAAGTAAGGACCCATAGATATATCAGATTTTTAAGTTGAATTAACAACAATTCAATAATAGACTTTTTTATAGATGTTTTATCCAAGGTTGGAATTTTACTAGTTTTTAAAATTTGTTGTCCAAAACTTCTTTAGTAAAAACGCAATCAAAATATTTATTAAAACCCTCTAGTACCTGATAACCTTCACTAATTAAAGAACTGTCTTTGTGAAAGTGCATAACATATATCAATGACCAAAATTAGTATGTACATATTCCCAAAAGTGTTTATGATTGCTTTGGAAAATTCAAAATCTTTTTTAAATTTTTTATATTATGTAATAAACTCTATTTCTTATCCACTTATATGATTTCTAGATTCTGAAAAAAAAATGCATTTGACAATACTGGTGTCCAAACCAATGTTTGTCTTTTAAGGAATAAATTAAACTCAGGATTCAATCATTTGGGTTTACATCGTTTACCAACTCTAATTCTTGAAGAAAAAAAAAGAAACAGCTTAACAGGTCTATTATATTTAATCTTAGATATTTTCTACATTTCACAGACAGACAAATCTCTGAATTTGTAATTGGTTTTATTCATTTCACTGAAATGTAGAAGGAAACTATAATTTCTAAGTTTTTAGTATTTACACTTGATTATCATTTGTAATGTTTTTTGTTTGCCAGTGCCATAAAGAAAAATTAGACACCATCAAAATGTTTACTAATATATATTTTAAAACATAGTTTTTGAAGTAGTCAAATTATTAGAAGCTAGTTTAAAAAATTAAATTTTTGAAAAAATACATATTAACCTAGTTAAAGTAGCTAGTCTTCTAAGTGTTTCACTATTGCAGTGACCAACATTTTCCTTACCTTGACTATAAATGACATTGGAAATAGTTATGACAATAATAATAAATCTTTACTTGCAAAGTTCAAGTTCTCTGGTTCATGATATTTATCAACTTCCAGGAAGAAACCCACTTCCAGCTCACAGTCACTATTCTCCCATTCAAACTCAACATGTGATTGATTATGTATCTGGGCCTTACAGCCAAAGTCCTAGTCCAGTTTTTCTAGGTCCAACTAGTACCCGTAGCTCCAGGTCATCTCAGTCTTCTGGACAGAGTCCTTTGTTAAACAGACATGTCAGTGGTCTTTCACTGTCTAGCTATCCAAATACTCATAGTCCAGTGCTTGGTCAACAGTCAGTTGAAGATGTTGCCAATAGCTCTATGCAATCACAGAAGCATAGTCCACAGCAGGTGAGAAGGAGAAACAGTAGTGGTAAAATAATGTATTGTATTTCTTTAATTTCCATATTCAGATTTTAAAAGTCAAACTTATTTATGAAAAAAATTATTCAAGCAAAGTACCATAATTGTTTTTATCAGTGTTATTCGTAAATGATAAAGCATAGATTATTATAGTATTTTTTGTATGACAGTTTCCATTAGATCAGAAATTGCATTACAGTATGTGTTGTCAATAGAGATGGTACATATCGGATAAAAGATAACATTACAATGTTTCTTTCTGCAAAAATTAAACATAATAGATCAGAGATTGCATTACTACAATATCTGTTGTCAATAGAGATAGTACATAATGTATTAGATTCTTAACTATTTTGGCTAATACTGTGCTGTGTATATTTTTTCCTAAAAATTTCTGTCAAAATGTTTCTCAAGTCTCTGTTAATAGACCAAAAACTACTGTTTAACTCTGAATTTTAGGATATTCATACTTGAATTTTGCAAAGAGAATTAGAGATTTAGGTATCATTTGCTAAGTTCTTTGCTAAGTGGTGCCTGATATAAGGAGATAATAGACATAGTGAAAAGTGAAGCATATATAGAACTATAAATACAGAGGTTGAACACATTATATTAAAACGATTTTGAAGCCTCACCATTTCATTACAGTCCATGTTACTATGTTTGGTCATGCTCCATTTCGTGACTATGCATAGTTTAAATTGCAAAAGGCTCCATCATAAGGCTGTCATGTCTAAAGCAGAACAGTCTTCCTTACTGCTTATCATAAGCCCTCTAGTGGACAAGGACAATGATTTCCAAGCACCCATTTCAACAGTCCAATCCTACAGAAATACATGGACACTGTATCCAGAGATTTGACTAGTATGTTTTTGTATGAAATAGCATGGATACCCATTTCTTTCTCTAACAACTTGGGCTATGCAACAATTGAACAAATATATCATGAAATCAACTTGTATACGCATAACTTTTGTCACTTTTCCAGATGGAGATACTTTTTTATTATGTTGTGTAGTGTTGCCTGGAACATGTGGATGGCTTTTATCATTAAACTTTGAGTTCTTGGATTTTGCTTGTTACATTATGCTGCACTTTGCTTAACATGGTTAAGATATTACGTGTTTCAGGTCTCTTTTAGGATGGTTCTGATCCCTCAAGTTGATCCATATTCCTGTGTTTTCTGATGTCATTAAGTACAAAGGCTAAATCCCTGATCTAAACAAATCTGTATAATTCGAGTTTATGAATCTTTTCTGTCAGAAAGAGCTATTACGTACCCTTCTTAAAAGTTATCAGTTTTTGTTGGCATCACACTATCTATGAAATGTCAAACAATGTCAAACATGTAGTTCTGATACATTCCATTCCATTGCAACTTTAGTCAGCTGTGGTTATCATGTGACTTGATGATATGCATATTCAAAAATAAAGTTAGTCGAGAAGATCATGCAAGTTGATTTTTATTTTAGGCAGGTGCAATAAAGCAAAAGGTCAAACAATTGTGCAAACTATAATTAGTTTGTTAATGACTAAGTAGAATTGATAAGATATATTTATGAAATTTACAGCTACCTTGTTTTCTCAAGTTACTGAGGTCACCAGTTAAAAACTATAAATTAAAATTGAGCTTGTTTTCAGTGTGTTAGTTTTCAGTATAGATTTATGATTTTTTCTACTAAATTGACAACTTACCTTTCATGATATCTTTTAAAAAATGTAATTTAAAAACAAAACTCCTAGAGAGTTTATGGTTTATTATTTCAGACAGCAAAGATTAAAATATAACATGATACAGTTGTTTATTTTTTCACATTTCATGGAATATTTAGGGCAGCCAGAAGAATTTAGAAACATCTTTTTACTCACCAAAGCAAAGCCCCAGTCAGATGAGACACCATTACCCAGATGGTAGAGCAAGTTTTTCAGCAAGTCCCAACTCCACTCAATCTAAGGGAACTATGCTCTCTAGACCAATTCCATTTGGTGCTTCTCCATCTCCTACATTTCATCATTACAGTCAGCAAGGGACTTCTGAGTTCCAACTTAACTCGAAGTATGACAGTCATGCCACATATGGCAATATGTACTGTGAACAGGCTCCTCATATTTCTCCAGTTCCTCATCATCCTGGTTTGGAGATCAGATCAACAGGTAAAGGCAAAATTGCCTCATCAAATTTGTTTTTTCAAATGTTATGTGATTTTATTTTCAGGGTGTTCACAGAATGTCAGAGTGTTTGTAATAATCAAAATTGTGAGACACTGCTGAAATTATTAGAATTAGTCCATTTATTTTCACCTTTTAATGATAATAAATATTTTGCATTATCTGGAAAGAGATGATTTCAATTCATTTACAAGCTTACTTTTTCAGTTATTAGCTTCCATATATTCATGAATTCATACATAATTTGGTAACAGAGCAGTTTCTAAGAGCAATCAGTTGAACTTATAGGTAGAAGTAGTGATAGTAGTACATTCTTTCATGAAAAATGCTTTAGTTTGAATCATTTTGTATATATTTATTAGATTACATTTTGTACATTCTTCAACATTAGCTAATTTCTACTAAATGCTGAAAATATATCACAAACAAGTTTTGCCTGTCATTTTATTGCCTTGAAGCATCTAGGATGATAATAATATTAAGAATGTATCATTCAAGTTTAGTCCTGTTTTTGTCTTGAAACCTCAGATATTACAAATTAGGGGATACTGTTGAGTCATAGATATTTACTCAGCCAGGAAATTAAGAAATATACAGTGCATTTATGTTGAGAGGACTTCTGATGGAGCTTATTAAGTAACCTGTAACAAAAAAATATTCCCTTTACTTTATTGGATATCCATAGAATATATTTTTGATAATTAAAAGTTTATCTATCTTACCTAGTGTAATAAAAATTTTTTATTCTTTAAGGCATATTTGACTAATGTAAATAGAAATAAAGTTGTTATTCATTGTAACTAAATGTTATGATTATTCTCCCACAGTTGAATTTAAGGATTTCACATTAGTCTAGTAGTCAGTCACCATACAATGAAATATTTCGTGTTTAAAGTGCTCTGTCATTATTAGTATCTTTTCTATTGATCAATCTAAATTTATATCAGTAAAATTCAATCTTTTGATTAATGTATCCTCTGGCATTGTGCGATGTTAACTTGTGACAAGGTACCTTACTTCCACTCACATATATAACTATTCTTGATCAGTACTGCCCTCTATTTACAATTTTTTTTTCACATACCACATGCTTTTCACTCCCACATACCCCTCCACTCAACTGGTTTAACTTATTCTCACATGCAAGTTATCATGTGACAAACCTCTACCAATAGGCATACCTCACATACATGTGACTCCTCTATGCTATTCTACCTAACTATCACTTCTCATTTGGCAGTGCTTGTGTATGGATGTTTTATTTAGTGCTCTCCTCAAATTTTGAATTTTTCATGTCAATTATTCCTACTTATCTTAAATAGTTTTCATTTTGTCCTCATTCAGTTGTGGTATTATTTAATATTCTACCCAGTTATGGAACTTACTCATTTTTCTGTGCTTTTCTTTCTTTACCCACACAGTTGTGTTTGGTTTTCATTTGCATTATGAATTCTGAAGTGGATGTTATGACGTCGGAGGTTGTACCTTCTACCAACACATTTACTTAGGCTTCAGGTGGGGGTAACTCAAATTTGGAATTATCGGCAATTATTCACCGAGAGATTGATTGTTATTTGAGCCAACCTTCTTCTCCTGATGTTGCTCAACTTCCTCCTGAGCAAGCAGAACCTGTTTGGGATGACAAAGCATTTGACAGTCGTTTTCCTCTGCCTGAATTTTATGTGTCTTCACAAGTTTCTACTGTGGGTTCTGTTATGTCTAATGTGTCTTTTTTGGACATGATTTCCCAGGTATGTTCTGCTTTATTCCTCTTCCCGATTTCCTATAATCCTCTACCTTCCTTGTTACATAATACTCCTTCCTCTCAGTATTTTGTGTTTCCACCATCTCCTGATATTGGGGTTCATGCTGAGCATTTTGTATCTCAGTTACGTGAGGGCACTGACATGCCTCACTCTCTGTGGGCTTTGGATCAGTTTGCTTTAGCCTACCATCATGCCAATGTTCTGTTCCTTGATTCTCAGCAACTGGAATCCATTTTATCCATCTGGGGGAGAGACCCTGATTGTCCTGTTCTTTTGCATCAAACCCAATATTCTTGCCTTCATCTTACCTTCATGTCTATCATACAGTACTTGTCCACCATACACCTTCTCTCCGAGGTAATCCACTGAGATCCTTAGGGGATACATTGGCCCTAATTACATCCTTGTTGGCATGTTTATCAACTTTAGCTCTTTCTTTACACACGTGGCTCCTCTATTGTTGGGATCTTTTGAGGTAAGATGCAGTTTTGTTCCACATTCGTTTGCCATCTCCTTATCTTTGTGACTTGCATGTGGATCATTTTCTCCATCAGTCAGTGTTTGGAGACCTTCCAGCAACTTTGGAATCCCAAGTTGAATCTGTGAGACAGCTATCAACTCATTCCTCATTGGTTGATCATTTGTCTCGCATGTAGCCTCGATCATCCTCCAGTATGAACGTTCCTCCGGACTCACCACTGCATTTTTCTCCCCTCCTTTCTTCCATTGGAGTAAGAGAGTCCTTATCACCTTCCAGTTTCAAGCCACTGAGGTGGTGGACCATGGAGGTATCCTCCTGAATGAGATATACAATATAAA